GGCATGGGCAACTGCCCTCGCATTTGTCCTACAAATTTGGAAAAAAACACGGTCTTGAGAGCAGGGAGGAAGTTCACCCTAAAAATGCGGACCCTCTCAATGGGCATGGGCAACAGCCCTCGCATTTGTCCTACAAATTTGGAAAAAACACGGTCTTGAGAGCAGAGGGGAAATGTACCCTAAAAATGCGGACCCTCTCAATGGGCATGGGCAACAGCCCTCGCATTTGTCCTACAAATTTGGAAAAAAACACGGTCTTGAGAGCAGAGGGGAAATGTACCCTAAAAATGCGGACCCTCTCAATGGGCATGGGCAATAGCCCTCGCATTTGTCCTACAAATTTGGAAAAAAAACACGGTCTTGAGAGCAGAGGGGAAATGTACCCTAAAAATGCGGACCCTCTCAATGGGCATGGGCAACAGGCCTCGCATTTGTCCTACAAATTTGGAAAAAAAACACGGTCTTGAGAGCAGGGAGGAAGTTCACCCTAAAAATGCGGACCCTCTCAATGGGCATGGGCAACAGCCCTCGCATTTGTCCTACAAATTTGGAAAAAAACACGGTCTTGAGAGCAGGGAGGAAGTTCACCCTAAAAATGCGGACCCTCTCAATGGGCATGGGCAACAGCCCTCGCATTTGTCCTACAAATTTGGAAAATATACTACGTGGCTGTTTTAATTTAGATCGCACAATCTACATCTAAATGTAATGTTTCTGAATTGGGACGCGTCATTAATGTTATAAATTTTAAAATTTGATAATACACAATTAAAATGAGTCCATCTACGACAAGAAGCACATTCGACCATTCCTTGTTCAACAGATTTTGGAGCTGTTTCTCGTGAGCAGTGTATACATATATTGATCATCGAATTTGAATTTATTAACAAGAACATTTTCAAGAAATCGCGGTACTGATCAGGATACAACGTAGGTGTTTCATTATTTACAATACAACAAGCTATATAGATACATATTGGACCGCAATTAGAACTATCGGTTTGTTGAAAATGCTCCATTACACCACATGTCCAATTTGTGAGAGATATATCATTTCGCTTTAATATTTTTCTAAACTTTCGCCAGTACGTTCTACTTTTCTCTAATTCTCTACATTTTAAAGGGTCTATGTAGTAAAATATTTTATTTACAAGATCACCGTATAATAAGCACCAGTGGTTTTGATTCTGGTGAATTAAATACAAAAATTTTTCTACTTTTCCATCAATTTTCGTGCCCTCATTATGGAATATATCTATTTGGGAATTTACATATTGCACATCAGTCCTTTTTCCAATGATTAAATCCAAGCAAATATCGATAACCTGATTGGTAATCCATTGCCGGAATTGAGCGTTGCAAAATCTACTGAATCAATTTCGTGCAGTATGCCGTTGGTTTTCCCAGCATAGTCACCCACTGTATATCGAAAATCACGATCAGTATAATAATTTATATCCCCTATTAAATGATTATCTATAATGGGTAATTGGTTTACTGTTGTGTTTTTAATTCCGGATAATTGCCAATTTGAATAAATGGTGTTAGGGTTTGTAGCTTCTGTACCTTTATGGTCTCTGATCAAGTCACATTGTTCAGCGGTAAGAACACTTTTATCAAAATGAGGTGTATTTTCGAAAGAACAATCCTTAGGACAGAGGTTTTCTGGATAAATAGTGGATTGATCCCATTCTGCTAACGACGGTGATTTGTCCAAATTAGCAGTACTAGAAAGAATAGATTTGTTTAGATTAATCGCTTGGGGCGCGACAGAGAATTTGCTGAAAAATTTGTTAATATTTTCGGAACGTTTACCCCATTGTTCCTCTTTTGTAGTTAGAGAAGACGATTCATCCTTGACTTCGTTAGTATTTGTTTTGGCATTATCTACTTTAATAGTTTTACATTTTATAGTATTCCGTTTTTTCTTTGTAGTTTTAAGCGATATATTTTCATGGCGCAATCGCGGCGTAATTAATTCGGACATCATACGAATGTATCTTGGTGCCAAATTCCTCATCTTTCCTAACAGTATATCTTAACAATTCTGAACCAACTCTCAACCACGACATTATTGTCACGAACGTAGCCTAGCTTCTTTATAACTACCCCAGATACAATCGGATAGTATGTTAACACGGATTCGACCACATATTTAAAGAAGATAATATAAAACACATTTTCTTTTAGGATTTCACCTGTTTCAAAATTAACGCGGTTCAAACATTCCCACAAGTGAAGAAAATGCTTATAGAAAGGGGAACATTGTTTTATTGTGGTACCATCGCGTATTGCCATTTCATACTTCCAACAGTATTTAATCTCAGGTATGATAAACTTTCTTTGGGACTTGCGCGTGAATGAATTTATATATGAATAAGATTCTTGAAAATAGGTGCATTGCTTTGGAAGTGCGAAAATAACATAAAAATGCTTAAATAATTCAACCATGTCTTTTAAACTGGTACTATTTATAATAATACTAAACACCTTTTTGAATAAGTCCCTGACTATAAATAATTTTGAAAATTTTTTACTGTTCGTTATGCTCAAATGATAAAAATGAGAGGAACAAACATGAATTTTAACTAGATTATTGTCAAAATAGAAGGACTGAGCAGCGGGACCAATGGAATACCAACATTCTATAATATATTGTTTTAAATCTATTTTATTAAAAGTCAATAAAGCTGCTTGAATTAGTGCTAAACTGAAATCTGTTTCAATTTTACCAATTATGTGTCTCTTGAATTTTTTATGTTGAAAATAGGGGCTGCCGGAAACTGTTATTACATCAAGAAGAAACGAGTTTAAGAAATAAGTAAGTGACGGAATGTTTTGTGAAGAAGTAAGAAATTCACAAATCGGGATTGGAGATTCCGCCTTTTGGCTTCTAATTACTAAGGCATAATATAAAATTTTTTTTTAATCCATTTGGGTTTGGCGATCAAGGTTCCCGTAGCATCTAAGTATAATGATACCGGTTTTCTATTTTTTACCGCGGTAGCTCGCAAATGTTTCAACTGCTCTTCCGTTACAAGCCGAAAAATGGATCAAAACTTAAAGATTGAATATAACCTAGTAGTTTACTTCCTTTCATGGTTTTCCGAAAATAAATTTGAAGTTTTTGAAGATGGGCAAATAGATCCCTATCTAGGTCTTTCTTCTTATTTTGTTCGCTGGAAATTTTTCTCAATATGTTACTGTCAGGGGCGTTATTCAAATTACCAGCTAACAAAGCATTGTACACGGTAAAAAAAGTTTATGTAATATTCCACAACTTTACGTTGGCTATTTATAACCAACGTAAAGTTCTGTGAAAATACCTAACGATTTGTAAATAAATTTTACTGTAACATCTACCGTAATTTACCATTAATATTCACAGATGAATTCATGATAGATTTAGGTAAGTTCCAATTTTTATTCTTGCATAACACGAGGAACTTGTAAATTAACCCATTTCATAAAGTGATTCTCCATTCTTTAACTGCAAAAAAGCAAGACTTTATACTGTATTTTACCATAATATGGGAAATTTACTATTTAATTTTCCAGAGCATGTTACAAGGCAATCCATACTTTTTTTAGGTTTCCTGTTCCTATTAGTTGTGTTTTATTACAGTATCTTCCTAGTATGTTACGTATAGTTTATGGAATATCACATACTAAGTTGATGAAAAAAGTGTAACATATAACGGAATTTCAGCAAGTCCATATTTTAATATGTTATATTTCAGTAATCATTAGTGCGCATAGGCTCGCCTTATAATGTAATTTTCCATTTCAGAAATGTGAAAATTACATTTGTCCGTCCGCTCGTCTGTACTTGTCAAGACGAATTCTACCTTTAGTTTCCCTTTTTACATGGTACCTACCTATTTTTGTTTATTTTTCATATATATTTTGACATCCACCTACGGAGTTTATTAAAACAGATAGGCAAAATATTTTGTACAAAAGTTGTGTGTTTTTTTCTATATTTTCTTTTGAACACATCAATAACAACAAATGACCATCGCCAAGCTTAATTAACTTTATTTTGTTTACTTAATGGAACACCTTGTATATTTTTACTCAGGCTGAAAACCCGTTTCATCCTGATTCCAAAAATATGTTTGCCAGTATTTTATTCAGCCGTTTTTTAAATAATTTAAGTTTATTATTCAAAAATAGAACTTAATAATCAACATTGTTATGGATTATTACTATTATTTTTATAAATTTTCGAATTATTAATTTTTACATTCTATAACAATTTTTAACAATATATTATCTCAGTATATAACAAATTTTTCCCATTCCAATGCATGACAGTGTTTCAAAAACTCTTGCTGCATTTTTTGAATAATAAACTTCAAATATTTAAAAAAAAAGGCCGAATGAAATACCGGCAAACTATACATTTTTGGAATCAGGATGAAAAGGGATTTCACCCTGAGTAAAAATATAGTGTTCCATTTAAGGGAATTTGTTCTTTTTTTTAACATTACGATGCTCATTTGTTTTTTGTTGATATGTTGAAAATATATTACAGAAAAAAACACGCAACTTTTGTATAAACAATTTTTGCCTATCTCTTTTAATAAACTCTGTAGGTGGGTGTCAAAATAAAAATGAAAACCCTGTACACGTTTAACAACTCCCAAAATACTTTGGATATGTCTTCAAGATCATGTTAGGTAACATTGGAATCCTCGTTAGAAACCTTGCACGCCAAAAAATAAAATAAAAGCAAAAAGTTAAGAATAGTGAATAGTGTATATTTTTCTTATTAGTAACAGAAACATAAAAAACCTCTCTAATAAAATCCTTAAAACTAAAAAGAAGACATTTCTATTAATATTAACCTTCTTTAATACTGTTCATAAAATTGAACACTTTTTTTCGCGTTGCACACACTTTTTTAGATTTTGACCCAGCGTCGGGATGTATTTTCAGAATCATCCTCTGCAACAACTCCATGGTAGCGCATAGATTGCGAGGATACTTCAAATTTAAAATGAAAAATAAGGAGAATGACACTTTAAGAGCTTCTATGAATGTGGTATACCCATCGTGATGCACCAACTCTCTCTCTAGGTACACGAAGTAAAGCATGTTTTCTTCTTCTGAAAAGAAGACTGCTTACAGAAACTAGTCGGTAATGTGATGAAATGTGATAACCAATGAAAATATAACTAATTTGCAATTTTCACAATGCGTGGAATTCCCACATTACAATTAGCTAGTTAAGGATTACAGATAGAAAGAAATATTTTAGCATTTATTATGGCCATGCAAACAACTTTCCATTTCAGAATGCTAATTATGTTTGGTTTATGGAAGCACCAACATTGAAAAAAAATGCATGACTAACTATACACTGTGTTCAAGATAAGGAGGGCCACTATGGGTACTTTAGAAACGGTAAAATATACAAATTTGGTTAAATGGGAGAATGGTTGCGCAATCAAAGGTATAAAAAAATAGCGTTTAGAAAACCCTGAAAATTTCTTTGGTTTTTGAAATATTTTGAAATAATCGGATTTTACAAACTATTCTTTTCTGGCGTTAATATTTGACTTAGAGCAAAACCAAGTACACTTCTCTACGCCAATTTTTAACGCTCTTTAAGATGGTGTTAATTTTTTAATCCGACGTTTCGTCTTTACGGAACCAACATCAACTTAATTTTTTTAAATACGGTCCTGATCTTCTAATATCATTTTCTTAATTCCCTTTTTAATCTGATGTCAATGAGTTACAAAACTTTATGGTTTAATTACGTTTTATTAGCCTTTTTTCGGGTTTAATTAAGAAAATTCCTATTACAGACCTGTATTATAAATTTTTTTAAATAATTAGCTAGGGCAATTAACGTAAGTGAATGAGAAGCAGAAGATGCTATCTGTGTTTAGAAAATAATGAAAGTCTTTTGGAACATATGTTCTAAATTTAGTCGTTTTATTCAAATTTGTTCGTTGTGGTATTTTATTTCTTATATTTTCTGTTAATTCAATTTGATTTCTTAGTTAGTTCTGAGTTTGTTTTTTCTATTTATTTCACTCACGTTAATTAGCCTCCTAGTTAATTATTTATTTTTTTTAAAAATTGGTGCAGGTCGTAATAGGAATTTAGCCCGAAACAAAAGATTAAAGCGCAATTAAACCATAAAGTACTATACCTGATTTAATTCAGAATAAAAAGGGATTTAAGAATATGATATCGAAAGAACAGGTCTGTATTTAAAAAAATGAAGTTGATGATGGTTCCGTAAAGACGAAACGTCGGATTAAAAAATTAAGAACGCCATCTTAAAGTTAAAAATTGTTGTAGTGAAATATCCTTAGTTTTGCTCTAGGTGAAATATTAACGCCAGAAAAAAAATAGCTTGTAAAATCGCAAAATCCGATTTTTTCAAAGTATTTAAAAAACCAAAAAAAATTCAAGGGTTTCTTAACGCTATCTCATAAATACTTTTAATTGCGCAACTTTTTTCCCATTTAACCAAATTTTTATCTTTTGTCGTTTCTAAAATACTCATAGTGGCCCTCGTTATCTTGGACACAGTGCAGTATTGTTCAAAAACTGCAAACACAACCAAAATTTGCTAAGGCCTTGATCTTGTAGGCTCGGCTCATATAATGTAGCACACAAAAATAAAACTTACCCCCAGTCTGAATTATATATGGCGATAGGGGAATACTCTCTAAGGTAATTTCAGGTAAGTCCTAAAACACAAAGTATGATTTTAAATCATATATCATGTGAATTATTAATTTCTTACCTTGCATTTTAAAAAAAGGTTCTGTAAATCTTCTTTAAAATATTTCGTAATATTTGTGATAGTACGAATTTCTACGAGATTAGTGTCGTCGAAATCATTTTTCAACTTGGTTTTTAAAAATGATGTGATTTTATTGCATTTGCTGGTGATGAGGTCCATTAAATGGATGTCAGAGTTCGTTAGCTTGTTGAAGTGCCAAAATATTGCCTTTTTTGAGAACAGCAATGGCCACTCTTCCATTAGCTTAGAGAAGGGTGGCTCTTCTTCATTTAACACTTTTCTTATTTGAGGATAAGTTTTTTCTAATAATTGCACAAATTGCTCATCAGAAGTTCCGGCATTCTCAGTTAACTTGCTTATGCTTTCACTGTCATGGTGGCCGATCTCAGGTGACCAATTTACACAGCCTGCTCTAGCGCTTAAAACCCGTTTTTTTGAAACGATTGGAGAAGATTGTGCTTCGGTGCTTTTTCTTTTGTGTGGCCTGTTTAAGTAGTTGTTCCTTTCTACTAATTTGCTCACTAAGGAATGGCTTCCATCCCCAAGTACAACACCATCTTCATCTACATCCCTAAAAATCAATGGATATCGATCTATAAGTTTTTTAGCCACAATCTTGAAGGCTTTCATTGGAATGACCTTCTTAATTAGTCTCATGTCATTTACAATTAGTTGGACTAAAAACTTAATATCGAGTTTATTTCTCACACCATTTCCAAGGTTTTCAAGTTGTTCACTATTTAGTCTCTCTAAGGGGATTTCAAAATTAGTCCATAAAAATTCTGAATTGCAATCTACTTTGCAGGTCAAATCGATATTGTCGATAGGTGTAGAGTCAGGTTTTTCAGTTGGAGTTGGGTGAACTTCTCTCTCCTCAAAGATGGCGCCTTCAGGAAATGGTTGCAATAGCAAGTTTGAGATATCCGATTGTGCGATTGTTACCGTACTTCCTGTTGCTACAGAAAATAAATCGGTTGATTTCCAGGTCTCACTCTTTTCCAATAACATCAATATATCCATCTGGTTAAGGTACGGTAGAACTTCTGAATCGATTGGCGTGCCGTTAGATTCCAAAGCTAACGATGAACCGTCAACTTGTAGCTTTTGGGATGCTGTAATGAAAGACATGGTTCATTTATAATAGCCGAGCATTATGGTCATCTTACCCTTTAAAATTAAGGTTTTGTACATATCCACGTCATTTTCATCGATCAAAATTAAAGTTTTCCTCTCTCTATCTCGGGACCATACGGTGTAGATCTTTTTCGCCGCCATGGTTATTCTGAGCAAAAAGGCATTCAAATTTATTTAACATGTGAGCACAACTTCTTTGTGTTTTGCTCGTTAAATAAATTTAAACGCATAATACATAGCATTAGAGAGTTATGTTTCTTGAGATTTTAGGATTAGCAGTGCAAGTAAGTGAGAAGTGAGGTCCAAACAAAATATCATATTTATAATAGAAAGAAATAGGGGGGCATATTATTAAATAATAGGATTTACTATTTTAAAGTTTAGAGTTTTTGATTTAGAATTTTTCTAAAGGTGCCGATTTAAAATAATACAAGTACTTTTCGTTCAATTTACATTTTAAAACAGTTTCAAAAGATAATATTTCTTCAAAAGATATACAAACATCTACATCAGTACTTCGGGAGTGTTCGATTTGTAGCTCTTCGTATAAACCGGTACTCATATCATAATAAATTTCAACATTTTTTCCAACAAACCACAAGTTTTCCATACTCTCTGTAATTAAAATGTACTTAATTTCGCACAGATGGAAAATACCAAATTCATCTTTATCGTGACAAATTAGCATATTTTTTTTATAAAATGTACCCCTATGAGTTATTTCTTCGGCTACAAATCTGAAAGTACTCAACATATATCTACTTGATATCAAATTTAACATCTCGGGAGGATAGTTGACTGGGTTGAAAATTTCTAAGTTTTCAGCTATAACTTTATTACAATAGAGGATTTTATTTTCCGAATTCAGAGCTTGTAAGAATTGGTGCTTAGTTGTAAGATATATCAAAACATTCTTAAAATTCGGTGATCGCCTTAAAGCATCTTTAAAATATTTATGCTTACTTTCAAATCTTAATGTCCATAATAACCTAAGCGGACCCCACATTTTAATTAAATGAGGATAGTGCAAAATATAATGATGTTTTGGTGTAAGCTTTATTTCAGGAAAAAGCTGTTTCCTTAAATCTATGTATACCAGGAGAAGATCTTTCAAAACCGCAACTTGGTCTTCGGATACCTCAACCGCCAACATTATGTTCAAAATTTTTCGTAAACATAAAATCATTTGCCACATTTCTTTCCCGTGTTCATTAGATTTAATTAACGGTATTTTTTCAAGCAAGATAAATGGTAGAACATTATTTATATACATTAATTGTGAAGCCGTCCCCGATAACTTATCGGCTTTTTTTAATTACAGGGACCGATTGTTTCTTTTCAAATAAAAAATTAATCGTCCTGAGTTTAAAATTTAAGTATTCATAGGAGAAGTACTTTTTTTGGACAAAATAATTAATTGCTAACATTAAATCACGGGCGATTACTCCTTCCACTAAATCATGTGCTAAACAAGGGGGTAACCCAGGAAGAGCAACGTGAAAATAGTTTAATTCATTTAAAGGAGAGTTATGCTTAATTCCTTCAAAATGGTTATTGATTGTTAAAGCCATATTAACATCATGGTCATATGATTGCACAGTACGCAAATTACCAAAATAAGTTGACCCATTAAAATTTTGAATTTTACAAAACCTACAAAAAAACATTTCTACGTTGAAGGTTTCCAAAAATCCTCCAATTTGGTGACTCCCTAGATTATCGCCGACGGTACAAAGTATGCTTCCTTTGACTATTACATTTTCATTAATTCTTAACCCTTCTTCTTCCAAAATTTTTAAGTCATTGATCAAGGGACGAAGAATAGTACCAAAACCAAAGTGTTTTATATGTTTATCAAAACACAAAGCAATTAATTGTATCTGTTCAGTTCGTGTTCTATTCCATGGATACAAATTTGCAAGGGTCATATAAATTCCTGTGATTTTATATTTATTGCGAGCACTGCCCAAAGGATTACAAATTTCAAACGAATCTTGATATAAAATTATTTTAAGAGAATGTTTATTTCTTGAGAAAAAAGTGTTATCTTTACAGCAGATTCCGTCATAATAATCTCTATACACACCGTCGGAAGAAACGTGCGGCGCAGAAAAGCATTGACTATTTACATTTGGGTCATTTAAGAGTGATTTTAAAGTTTCATGTATTGGAACGTAGTAAAAAAATGCATCTTTTTCTTCGACTACGCCTAAATCTATTTTGAGGGGTTCTACAAACTGAAATTCTTTTTTATAAAAATTGTGTCGCATGTAAGTTGTCCGCAAAGAACCGCTCACTTTATTATGAGCGACCCCAAACAAACTATCTTTCAATAAACTTGCTACATTTTCGTAATTTAACCTGCTTTCGTTATCGAGTTCTCTTAATTTTGCTAACATGTAATCATGATTTAAATTCTCAAAATCAGAAAAACCTCGTATGATTTTTGTGAGAGAATTTTGGCAAAGAAAGTGACTTGATTCCAAGGTTAGATATAAATCGGCCAAATATTTAACTCCAATTTCTTCCAAGTCTTTTTTTGAGTTTAGAGAATGTAAATCGTTAACATTTTCAGTTTGCTCGCTATCGAGCACATATTCTTCAGAACCAGATGGTAGGTTGCAATCTATTTCGTTAGTCACGTTAAATCCGAATTTATGAATGCCTGCAAAATCAAAGTGTTTCCTCATCACATGGGTCTTAAACGATGGAACATTTTTGTAAACAGTTTTGCAACTGGCACAAGAAATAAATGGACATGTTATAGGAACGTTTTCTCTAATGTGAGAGCGCATATGAGCACACAATTCCTTTTTATTAGTAGCAATAAAAATGCAATTTTTAACGTTACATTTTACCCTAATTTCACTACTTTTGGGGTTTAATTGTCTGTGATGTCGAAAGATATGTTGTCTAAATCCAGAACATGTTTTAAAAGCTAATCTATTGCACTGATGGCGAATGCAAAAGAATTGCGCGCCCTTTTTATTTCTATGCAAGTACTGATGCAAATCGTATTTCTCGACATTACTGCACTTAAATTTACAATTATTACAGTTAAACATAATTAAAATACGTACTTACCTTCAGTTTTTCAGAATCGCAGATTATTCTATTAATTACAGGACACAGACTAACAAACACCAATTCAGTTCAGGATAACCAAATGACTAGGCTATGACGTTCACTTCGCTTCTCCGCAAAAACTGCAGTTCAGCAAAAATATAAATATGACATCACGTTCTTCGTTTTCAAGTATCAAGACAGTAATATTACACAAGGGCATATTCAGGACAAAATCTTACAGTATAGGTTTGACGTTTTTCATACTTACATTGTAATTATTTTTTTTTACATACCCCATACTTTAATTTTAATGTCAACTTATGGGAATTTACATATTTACACTGTAAATTTCCCAAGTAATATATTTTTACGTATTATCTCATGTAATACTCATATGCGTTTTCATTTTACATAACATATCACAAAACATTTTTAATTCCCTGATTTAAACTGCAATTTTTACAGCACGGCGATTGGAAAATTCCTGTAACTTTTTTCAGTGTAGTCACAGGCCCCCAGTTTTTTTAATTTTAAAATACTCGGTGCTGTATATAAAAGTTCCGTGGCGATTTTAGCTCTCTCAGATCCCTTAATAAATCTTCGATGAATTTCGTTAGTATGATGAATTTTTCCTACTCTGACAATTTTAATTACTTTATCATGTTGCAAATTTAAATTTTGTTTGCAAATAAAATTAAATGTTGCACATGTAGAATGTTTACACTTTGCTTTAGCCTTAAAAGGTACTTTGACGCTCATTTTATGGTACTTAAAAGATAACACACATAGAGGATATATTTTTTCAAAAAATTTATTTATTTCGTCGGTCCATCCCTTCTTCATTACACCATCTTTACAATCGTACATTGTGGTCCATATTGCGAAAGGTATTACAATCTCATCTGTGTGGTGGGAGTTTGATTTGTTCAACGATATTTTAGTATCTTCTGTTAAAACTCCTGTTTTTTTGGGAAAAGATTTTTTTAAAGGAGGTATATAAATATGATCATATTCATTAATTACATCGTCCTTTTCACGAATTGAAACACAAGGAGCTGATGTATTCATTTCTTGAACGTAGTTACTAGATTTAGAAACAGATAATTGAAAGTTATCGGAAATAGGTGTATCAGGAAGTTGAGTATGTATCTCATTGAAAGATTGATCAGGAAATAAATCAGTATGTAGCACATTACATATGTTTTCCCTTGTAGATAAGTGGGTAATTTTATAACGTGAACGAACCTCATACTTAACATTTACATCATGTTCCCAAATACGTTCCACCTTTTGTAACAAATTATAAATAAATTGACGGCGGTGAATTTTGTTAACCTTCGAATTGCGGGGTATAGCGTTTGAGTTTAACAATTTATCAATAAATATTCTACAACTGGGGTTACCTAAATGAAATTGTACAGGGTGGGGCACGGGAAACTCCCACATTTCAAAAGGTTGTTAAAAAAAAACTAATCGAGATAATGAAACAAGAATTTATTTATCAAAAAGATTACAGTAGTGTTATAAGGCCGATTCTAACTCAAAAGTCACTAGAAAAGTCACTAGAAAAGTAACTAGGTTTGAAACTCTGCTCAAAGTCACTAGAAGGTCACGAGAGGTTTGAAACTCGGCGTGAGGTTTGAAACTCTGCTAGTGATATAGGGGCCGATTCTAAATCAAAAAGTCACTAGACACGAAAAAGTCACTAGAAAAGTAACTAGGTTTGTAACTCTGCTGGCGAGGTTTGCGCCTGTGCTAACGTCAAGGTCAAGGGGGTCGAGGTTTGCGCCTGTGCTAACGTCAAGGGCGTCGAGGTTTGCGCTCGAGATAAAGTATCGGAGGTTTGCGTCCGAGCTAAAGTAATTTGGTTTGCGCCTGAGTCGAGGGTCTTGTCGATGGTAGTGTACGGCCGATTCTAAATCACACTATATTCTAAATATAACTGGTGGTGGAGATTGACGCTTATATAAGCCTCTATATGTTCGTTACAAGGTGTACATGTATTAAAGATGTCGTGGATGGCATATGCTGAGGAATCATGGACCAAAGCTACCGATTTCGTGACGGCCGTGAGACGCCTTAAGCAGCATTTTTCTGCATTAACATTTGATGCAGAGCACGAGGCGATATATGGACGCGGTGAATACAGCCCAGAGGAGTGTCAAGCTATTGCCGCAAAGTATGAGTTAGGAGAGGCAATATGTGACAGTTACTTAAGCTATAAAATATGTGATGAGTGTATTATCCGGAAACTAAGGGATGCAAAGTTGGAGCAATTTAGTGAACAGTTGCAAGCGTGGAAGGATGAATCTTCAGCATCCAGTGAAGAGTGTTAAATTCAATGAATTCAATAATAGAACATATGTAATGGTGACGTGGCATTTTGCTTATTGGGCAGCAAGGAAAGGTCCATGGGAAACTGTAGCAGTCGATAGAGTTCGATTCCGACGTAGAATCGAGCAATATCATGCAATAATTTCTCCAGTATTACAAGCGGATCATCGTTCGGCAGTGTATCGCGGTAGATTTCAAGGTCACGAGTTGGAAATATAAGGGTGAGCGGTAGCGATGGTTTCAATCAGTCCAGTGGTGTTATTGAAACAGTGAAAATGGATCTTAACGCACTAAACAACAGTACATTCTGTAAAGTATTCAAAAATGCCAAGGACTTGGAAGTGGGGGAGAAGTTTAGAATTGTGAATGCCGACACCATAAATACAAAATATGGTGATCGAATAGTATTGGAAACTGAAAATTTTAAATGTGTGCTGCCGTTACGATTCTATGAATACTTCAAGGAAGGCGATCGCCTGAACGTCCTCAAAGAGTCCTTGAAGACTAGGGATGTATTCATCGAAAGCATCGGATCAGCGGGAAAAACGACCAATTTAAAATTTATGTAAACAATAGATTAGTGTTGTTGTTGTTGTTGTGTAAATAAAACATAATATTATAGATAATTGTCTTTTCATTTCGAAATAAAATGAATGTCCCATGAAAAAAATACTTCAGTTGTGGAGTGATCGTCGTCGTCGTGTACTTCGCTCTCTCATGAATACACTAAAGAAACTATCATCCATGGCGACGAAAAATAGCTGTAATAGTAACTATTTCACGTGCTCGTGTTGGTGTTGTAGTGATAATGGATATGGATCAACGCCACCATCACCTTCTCAAGTTGAAAATATGCATAGCAAAGCGATTGAGGAACACTTAATCGATTGTACCTCTTACACCCTCTTCGACAGCTTAGATAATTCAAAATACATTGAAATCGGCTACAGTACACACCTTAACCTTGAACCAATCCTTCGCATCGCATGCGGCAGTGTTATGCTCATGAAAAGGGAAGATTGGGTGACACTTTTAAAATGGCAAACATATCTCGAAATGAAATTTTTCCGATCACAAGAGATCGAAAGATGGATAGATTGGTCGAATGTGAACGAAGAGAAAGATGTCGAACGAGATCAAAGTTCGGATACACTTAATAGTAATATCACCATCTACTATACCTGTCAGTGAAAGGGACTACTGAAAAAATGTTGAAGAGTGTAAGAATACAATGTGGCAACAGCAGCTCTCAATATTGCACGATGGGAAAGAACGATATTGAAGAACTGTTTAATTTGAAACATATAATCAACTATCGATTTGATTTACTGGAATCATACGCTCTGTCCTGTTTCTATCAAGATTTTATCGAACAGGTGATTAACTACCGTCACTTTCGTAAAATGGAGTCTGGTGACGAGGATGAGGAGGACGATGACGACTTCATCTATCGCGATATTGAAGATGTGCTAAACTATAAGAATAATGTAAATTCTCACAATACAGTGTGCATGATGGAAATATTACACTATAGACCTACTTATTTAATGTATCACATATATCAACCTCCTCAATAAACGGTTACTGCAGTTTAGTATTTTCATTGTGCCTAGATTTCCCTATAAATATGCCACCGCATTGTATCATGCCAATAATGTTGAATCGGAAGCGGAAGTGTACGGATGGGAGGGGCTTGGTTAATACTCTCATAAACAAACTTCCAGTTGAACTACATCTTCCCGGATATCAATACTGCGGTCCTGGTACTAAACTAGACAAAAGACTAAAGCGAGGTGATCCCGGCATAAACCCACTAGACGCCCAGTGTAAAGAGCACGACATTAGCTATAGGGATAACCAAGACTTGGAAGGTCGACATCGAGCAGATCGGGTTCTAGAGCGGAAAGCTTGGGAACGGTTAAAAGCTTCCGACACGAAGTTAGGGGAACGAGCAGCGGCTCTTACAGTGGGCACCATCATGAAGGTAAAACGAAAGTTGGGGATGGGAGTGAAGAAGAATAAGAAGAAGAGTAGTTTATTGAACTTGCGCAGGACGATTGCTAAGAAAATGAGGAAAAGCGGCAATACCGCGGATGTGATAAAGTCAGCTGTTACTGCAGCAAATATGGCCATAAAAAATTTAGGTGGTAGGAAAAATGTAAGCGTACCTAGAGTTATTCCCATACCAAAACAGGGTGGGTTTTTACCATTTTTGATACCCCTATTCTCCGGTTTATCGGCAGTGGGAGCTTTAGCCGGCGGCGCGGCAGGCATTGCTAAAGCAGTTAATGCATCTCGTGACGCACGTAAAATTCAAGATGAAACTTCACGCCATAATCGCACGATGGAATCGATCGCTATAGGAAATAAAAGTGGCAATGCGCTGTACTTGAAACCTTACAAATCGGGAGGCAGTTTGGCGTTGCATTTAAAAAAAAAAAACTTCAAAAAATTGCCTAAGCGGCCGTTAACAGATTTAGATCTACGTAAGCACGCAAAAGGGTGTGTACCATACTTTAGGGATGTGTTTATGCGAGATAATATGCCTATATCGCCATGGAAAAATGAATCCGGGGTTATTAATTTAGACAGTCAAAGGGGGCGTGGTACTCATTGGGTCTCGTACAAAAAACGTGGTAGACGAGTTTGGTACTATGATAGTTTCGGTAATATTCCACCACCACGAGAAGTGATCGAGTATTTCCGCGACTGTAAAATCTATTATAATTACGGGCAAGAGCA